ATTACTCAGATAATAAAATCAGACAAGGACATCATAAGGAAAAACATACAAACTATAGACCAGTATTTCTCAAAAAGAGGAAAGAAGGAACAAATAAGTCACTGGCACTTAAATCCTCCTCTGATTTTGCTTTCAGGAACCCCATCTAAGATGATAGCAATGCTCCAAATTTAAAAGAACCAAGAAAGAGGGGAGGGATTAGGAAGGAAATTCTATAAGGGAAACTCCTATAAAGGACATTACTGGGGATAATTGGGAAATTTGAAAATGTACTGAATATTAGGAAATATGACTGTTTCAGTGTTTAATTTCTTGGCTGTGATAATGATGCTGAGTTCAGCAGGAGAATGTTCTTGGTCTTAGGAGATACACGAAGTGTTTACGGGTGAAGCAGCACTAATATCTGTAACTTATTTTCAAACAATAAGGAAAAAATAGAGAAAAAATAAAGCAAGCACAGAAACTTAATAATTTGCGATTCCAGGTGAATAGTGAACTTGTGTGTTCACAGTTGTTGTCTTTTGATTTTTCTGTTGGTTCATCTTTTTAAAAAATAAAATTGATTAGAGAAGTGCAAAACCCATGGATACGACTATGCACCTATTAGAGTGGCTAAAATTTTTAAAAATTAAAAACTAGCAAGTACTGTTGACAATATGGAGAAAGTGGAGCTCTCATACATTGTTGGTGAGAGGGCAAAATGGTATAGCAACTTTGGCAAACAGTTGGTTGTTTCTCATAGTTAAAAAATGGACTTACCAAGTGACCCAAAATTTCTAGCTGTTTACCAGAGACACAGAAACTTACATTCACATAAAAACGTATACATCAATGTTAATAGTGACTTTATTCATAATCACTAAAAACTGGGAACAATGCAGATGTCCCTCAATCGGGAAAGAGAGGGATACACTGTGATACATCCATACAATGGAATATTACTTAGCAATAAAAACAAACTACAGATACACACAACAACATGGGTGAATATCCCATATATTATGCTAAGTTAAAAAAGCCAGAGTCAAAGGCTATGTATGGTATAATTCCATTTATAGGACAGTCTGCAAAAGGTAAAGTGTAAGGACAGAAAACAGATTAATAGGTGGCCTGGGGGTGAAATAAGGAGTTGGCAACAAAGACACATGGAGGAACTTCCTAGAGTGATAGAACTGTTCAGTACTTTTTAGTGGTGGTTACATAACGATGTGCTCAGGACTATACGCGAAAGGTGGTGAATTTACTGTATATTTTAATAAAAATTTTGTATTAATTTTAAAATTAAGTAAGTAAATGTTATTTAAAAAGTCATGTCACTCCTCTCTCCAAAATCATGGAATGGAGCCTTACCCGGCATAAACAGCAGTCATTGCAGTAGCTTCGCAGGCCCTACATCATCTGGCATCCTTTTAGCTCTCTGATCTCATCTGATACTTCTCCTCTCCTCCCTCCAATTGTTCCAGTCACATTGGCCACTTTACATTCCTGAAACCTATCAAACGTGTTCCTGCCTCAGAGCTTTTGTACCCTCTGCCCTTCCCCCAAATAGCTATGTAACTTGTTTGTTTACTCCAATGTTACCTTTACAGTAAAGTCTTCTCTATAACCTCAGCTTATACTCTTACTCCTTTTCTCCATATTACTTTTCACTATCAAACATACTGTATATTGTACTTTTAAATTTATTTGGTCCAGTTTCTATAGCACATGCACCCACAACAGTGTTTAACATATAGTAGTACTCACTATTGGTTGAATAAGTGAGTTGAGATACAATGAAACAGCCATTACTTAACGAATGCTCTGCACTCAGTATCACTTGCATACTTTTTATAACACACTAAAATCAATCTTACCATAATTATTAAAGAAGTGGACCTTTATTCTAATTCCACTTTTATGAGAAAAAAAAGCAAATAATGAGGGAAAAGTTATTAAGAATGTATTTGCAAAAACAAGTATCCGCATTTCCTTAGAATAAACACAAATTCATCATTCATTCAACATAAATCACTTAGATCTAAAATCACTTACATCTGATATGGAACAATAAGCATTTGATCTTTCTCCTCTGTGAAGCCTTCGTTCTTACCTCCTCCCAACTGCTGGGCCCTCAAAGTCTGTTCACCTTCAGCTTCTCACCAACCTCTCCATGTTTCATGCACACTGCAATTATCATATTAAATTTTATTTGCTTATAAATATGCCCCTTTCAGCAAATAAACTACTTGATGGCAGGAATCTTAAGGTTAAGAAAAGTTAAATTATGTGTTCTAACTACCTCGCCTAGCACCAGGCACAAAGAATTTTAATAAAGGTTCATCAAGTTAAATATGAGTTGATTTTTGAAGTCATAGATTTGAAGCCTTCAGAATTGTGAATCATCCAAGAAATGCTGAATTGATTATGCTATCCAGTTGTAGATACAGGTATAGATATTTTGAAAAGACTTTTGCTAACTACCCTGAAACTACAGAATTGATTTTGTTCATGAACTCAAATGCTATTTGTAGAGATATCTGGCCAATCAAAATGTTAGCAGACTTAATCTAGGTGTGTGTTTCTCTTTTTAAGGAAACTTTGAGGAGGGGAAGACATGGGACAGAATCTCGATTAGAGAAAAGTAGAGCATAAAAGGGTAACAATGAAAAAAAAAATACACTGCAGGAATTCTTATGAGAAAGCAATGAGCAAGGCTATGGAGAAAACTTCCAAACCACTTTACACTTGGGACAACTTCACTGGAATTATCAAAGTTCCTACTTCGACAGAGATAGGATTCAGTAAGAAGGTGTAGGTTTCAACTACTGAAAAGTCAAAAGTCAAGGATAAAAGAAAAAAAGAAATTTGAGTCCCAACTGCTCTCATTGTGGTTCAACCTTTATAATAGCTTCCTAATTGGTTTTTCACTTTTAGACTCTCCCCAACAGCCTGTTGAAACTGTTTTCAAATTGATCTTCCTTTTACAGAGTTGTGGTGATGTTTCCCCAACGCTCAAAAACCATTAAAACCAAGCCACATTTCCTGAAGTTCTCCATCTAAACATCTTTCAAAACATGACCCTTTTATAATATGGTCTCAATGCATATTTTCATCAGCATATTGCATGAGGCTTCTTTTTTTTTATTATGTTACGTTAATCACCATACATTACATCATTAGTTTTTGATGTAGTGTTGCATGATTCATTGTTTGCGTATAACACCCAGTGCTCCATGCAGTACGTGCCCTCTTTAATACCCATCATCAGGCTAACCCATACCCCCACCCCCTCCCCTCTAGAACCCTCAGTTTGTTTCTCAGAGTCCATAGTCTCTCATGGTTCATCTCCCCCTTCGATTTCCCCCCCTTCAATCTTCCCCTCCTCCTATGCCCACATAGTACAGGAGCCAAAATAGACTATTCATTTATTCTTCAGTCATACCCTGTAAGTCCTCCCTCTATTCCTTTGTTCAATTGGCTCCCTCCTCCTGGAGTGTCCACTCCTCACACTACCTTTTATCAACCTTCTCAATGGACTAACCATCCAGTTATCTTACACAGCCGTTCACAATCTCCTCAGTTCTGATGGCTCTCTCTCTCTTCTCTGATCCATCGGGGGACATTACACCTCCCTAAAAGGTCCCAGATTATACCATTGTTGTTTACACATTTATCTTATTCCTGCCTTCTTATCCCACCCCTGCCTGGTTTTATAAAGTCCGACACTAAGCTCTTGTTACTTTTATTTACTACAGGTAATTTCACGGAGCGTTTTCTACATCATGTGCTCAGTCAATGTTTTATGATTTATAAAGTTGACTAAATATCATGAGAGACACTGTGGAATCACAATTGTTGATATGCTCAGCAGCCCAAACCGAGTTTAGGCATCCTTGAGAAGTTTTCCAGAGATCTATTACAGGGATCTGTAAGAAGACAATGATGCCTTGTTTTCATTCCCAAATCCCTAGAGGCAGGCATCGTACACAACTGCTGGAACTTAAACTCCTGAGGGGAATCAAATAATTCAAAAGGAGAGGGTTAGTTTTTTTGTTGGAAGCTTATGGAATATCAATTTAAAGGTAGTATTTGAATATTCAAGTGTTGTAATCAAGATATATATTTTATTATTCCACTACTGTACTTTCATTCCTTTAAAGAAATTAAGCCACACAGATTTAACCACGTTTGTTTTTTAAAAGGAGAAACGTTAGAATTCAGAGTGCTTCAAAGGTCAATGTTCAGAGGAAATTAGATAAATACATGGTGTTTTAGTCCTTGATTCTGCTCATATCGTAATGGGAAAACTTGTAGCTCTACATGATGCTTCAGAAATAAATAATAGTAACTCTGCTGTCTATTCATATTTTATAAATATTTGGAAGTAATCTTACATCTGTATCTGAATATTAAAAATACAATTTTGTCTGAACATACAATATAGTTTTATATGAATCATGCACATAAAATAGTACTATTAGAAAAACTGCTTTGTAACATGGTGATTACCTGCTTTAAAGGAAAATAGAATTTTAAAACAATAAGGCTGATTTTAAATTGTGCGTAGAACCAGTAATTGTGTATTTAAGGCAATTAAAAGATTTATTGAATCTTGGTTAAAAGTAGATTGACAATGACATTAAAGAATAAAGTATAATTTATTTGGTGCTACTTTGTGAATGCTTCTTAACATCTCACGATACCATATACAATATACTTCCAATCACAACTCAAACATAAAATAACCTACAAAATCACATGGCTATAATCAATATACACTGATTATATATATTTTTTTTAAAAGAAAGAAAGTTAGCAATTAATTAAGGTGCAGTAACTTTTTTCAAATAAAATATTAGCACCATACCAGATAAAATGACCTAAAACTACTGGCCTCCTCATATTTCTTAAATAACTAAATATAAACATTTTTTTTTCAAAGCACAAATATTAATTTGCAGAATCAGTTCTACAGTAGTTAATATTTCTCTCTTTTGTTGCATTTTTTTCCCCCAGGAGGGAAAAATATGAAGTAAAAACTTTCACAGGATCTGAAAATCAAATAAATCTAACCAAACAAAAGGTTGTCCTTCAGCAATGAGTTCCCACAGAAGCAAACGTGGACATTTCCCGGCGTATGGTACTAAAAGGTGAGAGTTCAAGTTCTGTGGTATATTCGTTGTCATTGTCATCGCTGGTCACTGTTGAAGACTTCTGAATGCACTCATCACAGCAACAGCAACAGCACTCCATAAAGGCCCGACTGAAGGGTTTGCAAAGACAGAAAAGGAGGACAGGGGTGACACAGGACTTGAAGAACAAAAGGAACTGGCTGATGATATAAAGCAAGTCCATTGTCTGCTGAGAAACCCCTGCAGCCATGTAGGCAGTAACAATGTTGCAGATATTTTCAGGAATAATGCAAAATCCATACAAAATGGTCAGAGCCACTACTGTACAGTTCATCTGGCTTTCTAGCTGAATCTGTCGTTTATTCCCCCGGGTACAGGCTTTCTCTGCCTTGCGGATTTTCCTTGCAGTCACCAAAGAGCAGGTGATGGTGAAAAGTGTGGGCAAACAGAAGTAACAGCCAAAGTACCACCAGAGTCTTGCACTGTCATAGGTAAGGGCTAAAACGTAGATGGTGTCCGGTAAATCTGGGGAGACCTTGATAACGCAGCGTTCCGCAGGAGCTCGGCCACCAAACCCCAGATCCTCCTTGCTCAGCTGGCGGAGAACAACTTCCGGAAGCGCCAACAGTAGGGCACCAACCCATATAACAGCAAGCTTGGCAGTTGTCGAAGAACAGTTCTCGATCATTTCATAGTACATCTGCACGTTGGTGGCTGCCCGGAAGCGGTCTATACACAGAGCACATAAGGTGAAGGTAGTGACTCCGAGGGAAGCGACCTGTGGGAGGAACATGGAACACATTTATTCTGGGTGATCTCTAAAAGATCAGAATGCTAGGCAGTAAATACAGATGGGCAAAACAGGACAAAAAAAAAAAAAAATTTCCTGGAATGAGGCATGGGTAACTGGGTTGGTGTCTTTAGCTGAATTATTATAAGATAAAAATAGGAGGGGAAAATAAAGAAATGCAGTGGTTCAAGGGTCATGGAGTCAAAAAATTTTACAGCTGAAAGGATCCATAAGGATCAGCTAGTCCAATACCACTTTATTTTAGAAAAGAGCAGAGACACCTCAAAAATTTCAGTCACCATGAAAATGCCGGCCACCAGAAGATCCAGATAAGGAGTAAGGATAGTTGAGTGCATCCCATTTTCATTACTGAAAAGGATAGTCATGTTTTCCAGTGTGCAGGTCAATAGCATGCCTCACACACAGCAAACATTCAAGAGCTTATTAATTCCAACAAATGAGTAAAGATCTCCAATTTCTCCTAAATGCAAAGTAAAGTATTTTAATATTATTTTCAAATACATACACTTGTAGAAAACAAGAAAGGGAAATCCTCCAGGGGTCAAAATCAATGAAAAAACAAATGCCAAACAGGTCAGTGACCCCTCCCCCTCCATGTTGCATGCTTGCCCTAGGGACATCTGCCAATCCTGATGAGAGTTTCAAGTTGGTTTTAACTAGGTAATGGGGCAGGTGCCCAAGTACACAGAGACAGGAAACAAAGCTAGAGCCAGTGTACGTGGGGATTAGGTCAAAGATCCCCTTATGAATTGGGAACTCCCCGAATAGTGACATCTTCATGGGTATAAAGAGGAAAAATAGAAGGAAATAGTAGAGAAACTTGTCAACCTTATATGATTTGGATCTAGGTGAACTGGAGATTAAAAACAAAGAAGAGCAAATTCTAACCAGGAGCTCAAATTTACACTGGCCTAAGGCCAGAATTCACACCATCCATGTGGCTCAGAAAAAAACCAAATTACAATTTTAAATTGTCCCAGGCACCTGGTAGAAGAAAACACAAAACCTCTTTGGAAGAATGCACTTTAAAACCAGACCTCAGAAATCCACAGATAAAATTTGAGGGAACATGGATTCACAATTAAAAATCACAATATGCAAGAGACAATCCACCACTATGAATTTATGTTGCCCAAAGAAGCTACTTACTGGATCAGGTAGGCATAAAATAAGTACAGCTATCATGAATTAAGTACATTTATCAAATTTAAGGTTATATGAGATACTGAAGGAATGTCAAAAGATGGGAGATAGAAAAAATAACCATGAAAATATGCAAAAAAGGAGCCAGAAACAATGTCTAGATGTACCAGCCATAGGAAAATTTCAGATCAGAAAACCCTTTGATGCTGACCACACAGAGCACTGCATCCAAACTCTTATATGCATATGGTCCAGACATCTAAATAAATCAACAACTAAAGGTTAAGAACCAAAAACGTACATATTTTTTTTTTCACACAGAGAATATAAATGCATGTTCCTAATGTAAACATACTATCATTCAGTAGCCTGTAAAATATTTACAAACATCCTACACACTCTCTAATGCGTACACAAACACGTATTCAACACAAGCATACATTTATTGCTATGGACTCTGGCCCAAGCACTCTGCTAGATATTGGGGATATACAACAAGAAACAATTCTTTCCCTTAAGGAGGTCATAGTCAACCAAAAGGGGGAAGGTAGTTCTCAAAGGCACAAGATAAACACAGTAATCATCTGGGAGCATCAAATTTACTCAACTATTTACAGGAAATTGAAATAATTTAATTTTTAATAAATGTCATTATTTATATATTTAAATAAAGACAATGAGGATAGAAGGTAAAACATTCATGAGGTTTAAGATGAAACAGGAGACAAAAACTCTGTAGGTGGGAAGGATGTTTTGGGGTGTACCCTAGGCTCTCGGATATGTGCACTCACTCTCCTCTGTCTGCTAGTGGGAATGTTCAAGAAGCACAGCTATAGGTCATGCCTTGGCAAAGGGGCAAGGAAACAGATATATATATATATATATATATATACACATATATATATATATAAAATGTTCCTGTCTAATTTGTTAGAACTCAAAGGGATCATGTTGAAAAAAGGAAAACCATTTGTCATAACAATTTTGACACTCAACACATCAGTAGTTTATCTGCTACATTCAAGCTGTCACTCTTCCCAGAATGATGGCAACTTGCCTTACGGATTCTATGAGAGTTCCAATGTCAAATACTCTCCCCTTTTTTACACGCTAAACATTAGTCAGTGTCTACTGGTTCCACTATGGAAAATAAGGATACCGCATCCATGCCCTGACTATTCTCACAACTCTTAGTGGAGACAGTCTGAAAATGAGATATAATGAGGGCTTAAGTGTATGAAAAGCAAAACTGAAGAAAAAGTATGATTCATAATCTAGATCGGGCAGATCAAGACGACATGGTTGAGCTTATAACCACGATTCTTGTACAAAATCTTCAGAAAGTTTCCCATAAATACCAGTATAAGAAATATCCATCCAATATGACTGTCATAAAAAGTCAACTCTCCATACACTTTTTTATTTTTTCTTAAAGATTTTTTTTTTTATTTATTTATTTGAGAGAGAGAGAGCACGAGTGGGGAGGAGGGGCAGAGGGAGAGGGAGAAGCAGACTCCCCACTGAGCAGGGAGCCCAATGCAGGACTCGATCCCAGGACCCCAGATCAATGACCTGAGCCAAAGGCAGATGCTTAACTGACTGAGCCACCCAGGCACCCTCCATACACCTTTTTAAAATTATCTTTCAAATTAACAAATTGTTCACCTTGATGGAAATTTATTTTGCCTCTATGCCAGAGATTCAAAATAATTCTAAAATTGAGGCCCACACTATGCAACTGTCTTAAGATCAGATTATTACTTTTCTTAATGTCAGTAATTGCCACACTTTGCATGGAAATCTGAGGACTGGCTATTTTCTAAAAGTCTGCATCAAAAGTATTATTTAGAAATTGCAGTATTTTATTTTATGGATTTTTGAAACTTCACATTTATATATTTTTCAAATATTTTGATTCATTTCTCTATAAGAATGTAAAACAAAAAAATCCTCAAACTATCAAATGTACACAAATCCTCAGCAAGACCTTCTGTGCCATCTTCACTAACGCAAATCTTTGTCGCGTGTCCCTGTCGCCCACATATCTGGAGTCAGTCCACAAATAACAAAGCTACAGAGCTTTATGCAGTGCACTCTCTTAAAATTATGAATAACATTTCTACTGACAAAATAGACAAAATACTAGAGAGTCTGATGAGAGGCAATCTCTTAGAGGCTTGGTACATCCATTTCTTGGTAGTTTTTGATCATTATTTACAAAGAACACACGACACTCAAGAGATAGCATCTTCTCCCCCAATTAATCTCCTTAATTTGAAACACAGAGATTTAAAATCTGGACCAAGGGTGCCTGGGTGGTTCAGTCGGTGAAGCGTCTGCCTTCGGCTCAGGTCATGATCCCAGGGTCCTGGGACTGAGCCCACACTGGGCTCCCTGATCAGTGGGGATCCTGCTTCTCCCTCTGCCCCTCCCCCTGCTCGTGCTCTCTCTCTTTCAAATATATAAATAAAATAAAATCTTTAAAAAAATAAAATCTGGACCAATTTGCACAAGAGCTAGCATTTGCATACCTACCTCCCAGTCTGTTACAAAGCATTTCATGAGAGGGAACAGCCAATGAATGCGGGTGGACATGTATTAAGACAGGTTGTTAGACTGCCTCTCCTTAGATAGTTATCAACCGTGCTGCACATCCATTTTTAATTAGAAGACGTTTGCTGCTTTAAAAAGCAAAAAATGTTTTCTAGGTTCTGTATATTTCATCGCACATGGTAGCAAAAGCCGGGGCAAATTTTAAGCAAGATTTACATGTGCTCCAACGTTCGCTCAGGAATTCTACATTGTACTTTATCTGAAGATGCTTAGTTCTTCAGCCGTGTTCCCAAAAGCTTTCGGACTGAGCACCAGATGCGTTTGAAAGAACGTATTTGATCTGTAGTCCTCTCGACGAATCACAGATTGAGGGAAGCTTCCTAGGTTTCCTACACACATTGCAGGTACCCAGCTTCCTGTTGTCCAATCGTACTTCTCTCTGATCGTGTTCTCCTCAGTTAGGAGCCAGCTGAAGCAGGAAGGTCACAAGAGCTGGGGCCTCCGAGGAAAACACTGCCCCAAATGCAGATAGCGCTTACTACAGAGTTGCCACCAGCAACCGCCCGAAGGCCAGTCCTGGGTACCTCCTCCCTCCTGCAGTGTTACTACTTCAGGTAGGTTTCTGTAAATTCACTTCTGCACTTGATTTTATGATGTGAAAGAGAAAGAAAGGTACAAAGCTCCCGCTCAGTACTTTCCCAAATTATTTAGAGAAGGCTTTAAACATTTGTCAAGAATCAACCTCAGAAATTAATTGATAAAAATCATCTGGATCATGGGTGGTGGGCCAATTTCCGCTTTCTCTGACATAAACTCTAACCATGCAATTAAGATTGCTAAACCTTGGGGTAACATGAAAAGATTTCAGTCACAATTTTTAAATATATGTGTTTACGTACAGCTCATTGGAAATTCTACCAAGATGAATGGTGCAATGATACGCAATTATAAAACTGTGTCATAAATGCTGGATCTTCTGCATTTAATGACCATATCTGATTGCTAAAATTCAACGTCACTAAGACATTTGCTCTTGGGAGTAAAACTGGTACGGGGTAGTTTCTTTTTTTGAAGCAACATCCAGAGACATGGAATGAGTAAGATACAATCTCATGTTAATTAAACTGCAATGGGAGAAATAATTAACGTCAACAAAAGCAGAACTGTAAACACTTCTAATGGACAAGACTATTAATTTTGAGAATCGAGATCAGAGGAAAGCTGACAGCAGAAATTTTTAACTATTTGGGAAAATGAGATATGGAGTGTTT